AAGCAAAAAGTCCACAACCAAAACTCTGTTTCAAGTGTTGGTTGCTTTTCACGTTCGACCACCTTTGCCTGAAAACTCCGCACTCCATTGTCGCTGTGGAGTCCTGAGCCTGCACCAATCGCACTCCATTGTCATCGCAGAGCCTTTCTTCAAACTTGAGAAGGCTCTCCAAACAGCACGACTGGACCTTGAGCTCTGTGCTCGGGCAGAACCCAGAAAGGCCCAGGGATGCAGCCATTACGATTCTTGCCACAAATCGTGTAAAGCTGCGACCCAGAGACTCGAACGAACCGCGAAAACGCAATCGAGAAGACGTTGACCGCGTAAATGCGTTGACCGCGACTGGTGTCCTGGAAGATCTTTGATCTTAAAGGGTTTCTCTTGTGCAAGGATCACAACTTTGAAAGCTCTTGTCTAAGAAATTGAAATTCTCAAAACGCTTCATCTACAATCAACAAAATATTATCCAAGAAGGGACAAGCTGTTAAAGCAGGTGACTATCAAAGAGCATTCTGACACATCATGACACATTCAAACACGTTCGGGCTCCCAAAGAGTCAGTTTTTCATCGACTGTTGTAAACAGGTGTCTCGTTCGAAAACTGCCGAAAAAGTGCGGTGGAAAATGCTGAAAACGTGCGCTGTGATTTCTGTTTTGCCATGGAACAATGTAGAACAAACAATTTCACTAGTAAAATCACATGAAAGCAATGGCCTCCAACCTACTAGCGATGGCCCAACAAAGACAATGATACTTTATGATGATTTCGGAAAACTCCAAAGCAGTTTCACAGGAATGACACCAGTCGTTGGTGTGCCCGTCACTCGGAAGTTTCTGCGACACGATCGTCTTCGAATTAGTCTGATCGTCTTGATCGTTTTCGTCTTTTCTTAGTCTTCGATGGTTATCGTTTTCGATGGCAGTCCGTTGAAGATCTTCTCTGTCAGTCTTGGAGTCTTGGAGTCACACGTGCGACGACGCTATACAGAGTGCCAAGCGATATGACGCCGACCTGAGGGAGTCTGGAAGCTAGTGACGCGTCAGCGTTTTTCCGTGTCGCACCTAAGTGACACGTGGTTCTTCGATTCAAGTTGACGTGAGAAATTCTGCTTCGAACTTCAGTTCGTCACGACAACTCGAATTCGTTTGGCTTCTAGCGCAAGCGGCGCAAGCAGAGTGTGTCAGACTAGAAGTGTCGAAAGTGTCATCAGAAACTTTCGCTTTCAACACCATGCCAGACTAAAAGCAAAGCATTTGTTAAACACGAGAGTTTAGCAGGCTGTGGATGGCCACTTTGATCGCCAGTGCCATTTGCGCCACGCTCCGCTCCCGTGTGGCCCATCTCTTCGAAATTGCAAGCTAGGCCACTAGGAGCGGGCGCCCGAGCGATCGTAGCTGGTGTAGCTACGGTTGCACCTTTCGTTACAGCAAAAAACATTCCGAAACGGGTTGCATGAAACATTCTTTCGGGTTGCTGCATGTTTGCACATTCCGTTGAAACCCTTCACTCCGGGGTGACCAGGCGGCCGCGGGCGCCCAAGGCGGGCGCAGCGATGTGACTTGACTGTCGAGGTCGATGAAACTGTCATGTCACATGTGTCTACCTTCGTGTGTCCACGTCTCCACACCTGTGTGACGACTGTGTGACAAATCAAAACAGTTGAGGGATTTACTCGGGTCTAGCGTGTGCCGACATGTTTGTTCAGTCGTTTGAGTCGATTTGACAGCAACTGCAGCTTCAAGCACAGCTTCAAGCAATTTCAAGCTACAGACTGCTTGAATTTGCTTGTGTCAAACCTGGTGGACATGGCACTCTGAAGCTTGTTTGTCAGCTCATCCCCTCGCCGCCCTCGCCGCCCTCGCCCATCTCTTCCTCTCACCCTCCAATCGGACGGATTTCCTCGGCCAGGCACGAGAAGACGTGAAGCTCACGTGTTCTCGTGTCATTCACTTCGGAGTTTTGCTTTCGGTTTGGACGTGTTCTCTTCCAGAGTCTCGAGAAGAACCGAAGTGTTCACTATTTAAAAGACAGTTTAGATTGAGAAGAAGCAAGGTGCGAAGGGCCAGCTTGCTGTCAGCAGTGCTGTCAGCTCGTCGTGTGAAAAACGTTTCACACCGGTTGAAAAAACGTGTCACGAAAAACGTTTTCTCGTGTCGGAATTTCAGCGTCTCAATCATCGCCTTTTCGAGAATCACACACTGGCCTTGGGCCTTGACCTACCGAGTGAGACCGAGACGTCGACCTCGTTTTGTTAAAAGGAGAAAGTTTTGAAAAGAGAAATATCACGGAACAGAAACAGACATATATGCATACTATTGCATACTCCAGCATGCAGTATGCAATGAATTGCCGAAAATGGTGTGTTGAAAAAACACCATTCGACACGGATGAGAGCTGAGACATGTCACAGCCGTCCCGTGCGTGCCGTGCGATGGGTGCGCACTGTGCGACGCTGAGACATGTCGTCTGTCGCACGTCTGACGAATCACGTCCATCTCGACTCGTTTTGAAAGTGAGAAAACTCTGAGTCGAAGCAGTGCGGCCACAGTGCCAGTGCGGCGGCCAGCGCCAGCAAGCGCCAGTTCCAAAACAGACATCTGACGATTTCTTCCTGTCCGATCCTTGTTTTTCACTCGAGTTTCACCGAAAACACGTCATTCGCAGTGCACAAAAGCATCGAAAGCGTGGACGCTTTTGAATTGAAGGTGTGAGGCGACACAAAACTTGAGGCAACAAAACCGTGCAGGAACAAGTGCCACGCTAGTAACAGGGGCCTTACTAACAAGAAGCAAGTAGAAACAAGTGCCACGTTAGTAACAAGTGCATCGCTAGTAGTAACAAGTGCCTTACTAGTAGTAACAAGAAGTGGCACCAAGAAGTCGTCTCCTTCGGTGAAGCGTCTTCGGTGAAAAGCGCGAAGCTTCCGAAGGGTGCAAGACATGTTCATCGTCTCTTCACTCGTTTCACTCCTTTCCATTCGAGATGTCGAATGCTCACTTGTGGAAGAAGATAGAAAGTGATGAAGTATACGATAGATAGATAGATGCACTTTTTCTGAAAGAGAGGTCAGAGACGTGCCACTGTGTGTGCCGTGCCACGGATGTTGTGCTGTTTTGAGAGAAAATGAAAAGAAAATCGAATTAGTTCGAATGCGGAGTAGAATCCTTTAGATCCATTCGAATTTGACAGGAATTTCGTCGTTCGTGTCACCAAAGCAGCTTGGTCAACGAGCTGTGTTTTCACCCGTTGTGAAACAACAGAAGTCCAGTTGCAGAAGATGACACTTGAAAGCAAAATGCATGTCCATCTGTGGCCCAACATGTTCTCCTCATGCCGCTCTTTGCGAGCATGCCTTTGATATCCTTGGATTGGTGGGAAAATGCAAAAATGCGTAAGGCACACCGCACACCGCACATGCCAGGGGCATTCGAAGTGAACGAGCGACCTGAAGCCTCTTCTTGCGCCGAACAGACAGGTGTGAGTAAGCGATTCGCTTAGGGCGCGCGAAGAAGTGCAAGTGAGATGAAACAGATGAACCCAAGATCCCAAGTACGTGGTGTCAGGTGTGCACAGCGCTTCGGATTGAAAGTGTGAAAGTCCGCGGCCTAACGTGTCACGTCATCTCCACGTCTCGGTGCTGTCTGTCTCAGATAAGCGCGAAAAGCAATGGTCGAGCAGATGAAGTTCAACTCACTCACTTCACTCCATCTGAATCCTTTCCGTTCGAAGAAGCACTCAAAGTTGAGTCGTTCGTGTCACCAAAGCAGCTTGGTCAACGAGCTGTGTTTTCACCCGTTGTGAAACAACAGAAGATGACACTTGAAAGCAAAATGCATGTCGATTTGCGGCCCATGATGTTCTCCTCATGCCGCTCTTTGCGAGCATGCCTTTGATATCCTTGGATTGCTGGTGGGAAAATGCGAGAGTGTGTAAGGCACACCGCACACCTGTCAGGGCCCATTCGATTTGACAAAGTTTGCACTTGTGAAAGAGAGGTCAGAGACGTGCCACTGTGTGTGCCGTGCCACGGATGTTGTGCTGTTTTGAGAGAAAATGAAAAGAAAATCGAATTAGTTCGAATGCGGAGTAGAATCCTTTAGATCCATTCGAATTTGACAGGAATTTCGCGACCTGAAGCCTCTTCTTGCGCCGAACAGACAGGTGTGAGTAAGCGATTCGCTTAGGGCGCGCGAAGAAGTGCAAGTGAGATGAAACAGATGAACCCAAGATCCAGATGTTGGACCCCGAGTTGGACTTGAAACATGAAAGATGTTGAAAGTGACACAAGTTGAAACTCGCGACATCGTCGCCGACCTCCGCGACCTCCGCGTCTCGTGTCACGTCGCGACGGCGCCACGTCGGACGCTCCGACGGTGACGATCCGTCGGGTGACGGATCCGCGACGCCATCCGGTCTCTTCGAAAGCACCAGGTTTTAACTCCCCGAAGCCCTGTCCCCGACAGGCTGTCCACATAAATCGGAAGGCAAACAACTTAGCACGACCAAATATCCCTCCCCTCTCTCTTCAAACTCAACCATCAAGCGTGAGACAGACTTGTAGAATTGCATCGCAGCATTTCTTGCCAGATCAGGACACCCCCATAGTCTGAGAACAAGAATTTGCGAGCGCAACCATCCATCTTGATCAACCTGGAAAATTTGGAAATTGCGGTTTTGAGACCTGAAAACGGGTTAGAATGCATCCCTTCATAAGTAACGGCTCAAGAAGCACCATCGCAGCCGAAAACTCAGCTCTATCAGCCGAGTTCTTCAAAAGGTGGCATTCAAAGTTGAGTTGTTCTATTCATGGATAGAAAGGAGTCCGTGGCCGAGCGACTCAGCGGTTGTGGAGATCACTTTTCGAAGCCAGCTAGGCCGAGTGCAACAAGTGCAACGAATGCAACGAGTGCAACGAATGCAGAAAAGCGCCAAGTTGAAGAAAGTGCACATGTTACAAAAGGTATCCAGTTCAGCCAGTGTAGTGACACTCACTGCACCGCTAGGGCGCCAAACGCAAACTCGAGTCCAAAGCTCGACAACGAAGTCGTTCTTGGACTGCGACTCGATGTGGTCTCCCATCAAACATGTCCACATCTTCGAGCAGGTTCTGGTGCTGCTCGTCCTCGGGCTCATTCGGACGTCCTTTTCTATCTTTTCCTCGAGTCCATCTTGGCATGGAGCTCATCCAGCTCATCTTCCGACTTCTCAGCGTACGAAGTTGCACGTTGACTGAACTTTGCGCCACATCGGGGCCCACATCGGGACTCGTCGTAAGGCCACTCGGGGCCCAACTCGCGTCTCGGATCTCACCCGACGGGGACGAAGCGTTCACAACGACGGTGTCGGGTCCTCGCCGAGGGACTTCGATGAACGCTTCGTCCCCGCAGCTCGTACGACGAGTTTCTTGTAGCGCCATTGCAGTTGCAAGCACACACCTTTCGACATAGAAAGAGAGGGAGACACTTGATGTACATTGATTGCTACACACCTTTCAAAAGACATGCAAATCCAGATACTGCAAGTCCT